GGGGGCCAGGCGCAGCAGCACGAGCACGGGCACAGGCACGCGCCGGCGGGCGAGGAGCGGCTCAGGGGCCACTCGTGTGCCCGGCATCGGCCCCGCTGACGGGGGAAGCGGCTGTGACGGGACCTGGGCTCGCCTCCTGCCTGCGGCGGCCGGGAAAACATCCTCCTGCTCGGGAGCTGGACGCCAGGAGCTCCCCGGCGAGAGGAGCCCCCTGCGCCGCGGCCACGCAGCCGCTGTCCCGCCAGGCCGGACGCCTCGCGCAGCTGCCGCACGCTGCCACGGGAGCCGCGGCCCGGCTGGTTTGCCTGGAAAGCAGGGGAGGGGGCACAACCATCCGGCACATCCGCAAGAGGCTGCGAGGTTCAGTTCAGTAGGGTTTGGGTAACGTCTCCTGCTAATCTGGACCGTGTTGCACCATGTGAAGTGCTCTTTGATGCGATGTAGGTGCACCCAAAACCACTCTGCTGCCTGCACGAGTCGCCATTTCCCTTGTTCGTGGCTGTCACCCAGCTTCGCAGGACAATTTATATAAATATCTCCGTGCTACTGAATGACCTCTCCTGAACCTGTTGTTCCTTCCCAGAAACAGCAAAGGGCTGTCTTAGAGGCAGTAATTTCTTCAGCAAAGAAAAGGAATTAGATTTTATTTTTCTGGTTAAACAAAAGCGGTCAGGAATAGGTCAACCTTCTCAGAACAGAGAAATACACCAGGCTGTCACTCACCTTTCAAAGTGTCGGGTCTGTGTTGGGGGAGGGAGAGTTCTGCTTGTTTGGGGGGTTTTCCTGGTCTTTATTCCTTTTTTTGCTGACACTTGTTCTGTTGTTTTCCATGTGTTTCCTTTTTGCTTTCTTTAGTGGAAGATGGTGAAATCTGAAAGAGAGCATTCAGCATCTGTTTACAGTAGAAGGTATCTGACTCAATCAGACAAGCAAAGCTTCCTTTGTGCACTGAGGAGCCTCCGTTTTTCTTTTACATCCATGTTGCTGCTTTTTATACACACTACCCAGATTCCTTCCTCAGGGTCTGTTTCCCTTCTCTCTTGGCCTCAGAGGGACTCTGCTGTTGTCACCGTGCTTTCTACAGACCACTGTCTCTCGCTACAAATGCTCAGATTTTAACTGCCATGACTTGTTTGGATCATTACATTTAATTTCTTCAGCTACTAAAGAGACATCACTCAAAACATTCTGCCTTATTCTGATCCTCATGGTTGTTGACCCTAAAAACCCATGCCATGTTATATAAATAAGTATATGTATCTGGACCCATTAAACTGGGGGTCAGACCTGATGATCTGTTTTGGTCCCTTCTGACCTTAAGCACTATGATACTATGAACTCTCAGCAGAGCTCTTCCTGCCTGTAGTGACATTTTTTTTTCAATAAACAAAAGAATATGGATCTTTTTTGCATGGTAAACAAAATGCATGTCAACAACCAATTTAACCTTTTTATATCCATGTTACGAGAGGGTCAACTGGAAACTTGCATACAACTGAATTGAACAAAATGGACAAAAAGTATCTGACTCTATTCCCCTTACCCACAGTTCCCTGAATTCTGTTATCTCTTTGTCCCAGATCGTTCACATTTTTCCCTCCCCCACCAAGTTCTCTGCTGTTTTCACAGTACTTTCTTCATTTTTCCCTTCTCTTTCCATCTTCCATTTCCAATCATCACCCTTAAATATTTCCCCAAAACTCAGTTCCACCTTCAAGTCCCAACTGCCCAATTCCAACTTGTAGTTGCAAATCAGTCCCAATTTTACTCCTAATTTCTCAGTACCCGGTTCCACTTTCAGCTAACCAGTTCCTAAATGCCCAGATCCCAGCTCCTGACTGTTGTTCCTATATACTCCATTCCCAAATATTCTTAGCAGCCTGACACCCATCTTCACAGATGCTCAGCTCCCACTTACCAATTCTCAACTAACCATTTCCTGTTTGCTTCCCAAGTGACCAACTCCCTTGGTCACTCTATAGCAGTACCTTATTGTCCCAACTTCTGTTCCTTGTTCTGTGAAAGGAAATCACCCAATAAATCTTTATTTGAATAGCAAGACAAAATAATATTATAATACAGTCACCTTTTATTATTTTAATAACTCTAGAATTACAGGACAGCAGAATATTAAAATATTATTTACAAAACTATGCTCTTTTGTGAGGCATTTAGATACCAGGCTATAGCACAAGGCACAGCAAGATTAAACTATTACTATAATTATTTAATACTAAAACCAGTAATAATTGTAGTAATAATAAAAGGAGGGTTTATTGCTCTATCTAATCTTCCCTAATCAATCAATATTTTTCAATGAGTTCTGCCTACAGGGGTTATTACTCTTATTTAAACCCAGTTATCAGAGAAGGCTGCACTCAGGTCAAACTGCAAGGAAGTCCTGTGGCTTTCTCCATTTAACTCCATCCTGGTGTTGCATAAATTGCTGATTTTATCCCCTGGAG